TCTTCATCGCTTTACATTCTAGCGATTTTCGTTCGTATTTTGCCAGCGATAGCGCTTGCAAGCGGAATGTCCACACCTACCTGGTGCTCTGACAACCTGATACTTTATGGGCTGTTGACCCTTTATTAGGCTGGAAAGAGCATTTTTATTAGTAGCTGCATTTGGAAACGTTTTATTTCATTAATTTTAGAGTTTAGATGGCGTAATGGTGGGCTAAGATTAAGTCGCTTTCACTACCAACTGACTAACTCTTCTTTTTTTCTTTTTTCCATTTATCATTCCTTTCACCTGGCTTTTTATGTAATTTTGTTCAACTGTTATTGTCTGGATTGATCTCCTTCATATTTGTGTTGGTATTTGCTTACTTCTTCGCTCAGGCATTGGCTAGCCTAAACTCAGCAACAGGACAGATCGGCTCATCTCCAAACCACCATTCCCTCAGCTTTTCAGAACTGACCACACCCATTCTTTCCGTCGGTGCCTCTCCTTCCTTCTCAAGCTCTGCCAACAGAGATTCAGGAGTAAATACCTCCATCTCTTCAAATACTAGTTTAGAAAATACTTCTGATACATCTCAGCTATTCCAGAATGATCAGCCGGACTTCACAACAGGACAAACCAAATTATTGGATTCTGCAACGATCGCACAAGACTTGTTCAGGCCACCAAGAGAAGTGGTGAAATACATTTCAGACGTTGACTCAGTAGACGTGGAGACACGAGTAGCTATGGTTAGCGCTTATTATGCTGGATTCACAAGATAGTTTCATTTATACTCAAGGACACGATTTATTAGTTTCCAAACATTTTCATTGAAGTAATTTTTGATAATTGCGTACAATTAAACGTTAATTGAAGATATCTATATAACTTAACATACTACTAACTCAGACCCATCTAAGAGAATAGGTCTTAAAATTTAAAGAAAAACTTGACCTTTCCATAGAGTATATAATACCAATAAGTTCGTGATATAGCCATATAGAATCGTTTGAGTTTAAAATAAAGTGCCCTCTAATATATATGCTTAACATTACCGTCATTCTTAATGCAGAATGCAAACTACAGCCACATCCATTTTCGTTGCTTTAACTTCTCTTCAATATATCACGATTGAATAGAAAAGTTTTATTTTTTATAGGCTATCTGTACAATAATTTAAAAATTTGATATAATCTCTAACATCATCTTTATATTTTATATCCTCACATTCAGGTACGCTTCTTCAACTCTACTAATGTTTTGGCTAATTTCACTGAGCACACTCGAACAATCCGCCTCTATCCACGTCCAGTCGTTGCTTTCCAATACCATTCTTTTCTCAAATCACGGCAGTGTCTTACTAACTTTACTCGAAGGCTAGCAAGAACTCAGGTTGGCCCCACTTATTTTTCTAAATTTGCTTTCCGTGGATTCGCCTGCCTTTTATATTGATTTTTACGCACTATTATATTTTCAGGAATCACGCCATTAATCTTGCTTCTTATTTATATGAAGTGCCATATTTCACTTCGCGTCTTCTAAGCTCTATAGTAAAATACTATATTTTTTAAATGCAAATGCTCCTTTTTATTTTATTTCGATATTTAATGCTGCTTGATTTTGATCCTGCATTGATTAACATTGTTGGAAGCAATATTTTCATTTTTGGGAACCTAATCACACTAGTGTGTTTCAAAGTTTTATCCCCCAGTTTATTTCGTTTGTTTATGCTTTGGCAACCTGTGGTCGACTAAAAATATTTTTCCCACTCCCCTATGCACTTCTCTTGTGATAATTTTTGAAGATTACTTTCAAATTGATCATTTTGTCAATCATCTATTGTAGTCTAACTTAATGTAGCATAGGCCTACCTAACTTTCTTGTGAAATAAAATGTCTACCTTGATATATGAATTAAAATTATTACATTCAATTACTAGCTTCTTCTCTGAACCTATTGCTGCTTGTACTTCTGTATTTGCATGTGGAATGCTTGACATATGGGGAATACATGGTTTACTCCACTTGAAATATGTATCTGTGACCTTCATGCATGAACCTATTTCATGCCAGGGCTTTTTCCTAACTTTCTCCTATTACATTTATCTCCACCAAAGACTCTAATTTTCCTCTATTAAATATTATTATATTATTATATGGGCCAATTTGTAAACATTTTTATTAATTAGCCCATATGGGCCACTTAAATATATTTGTATTTATCGGCTTAATGTATGTACCTAACCCTGTTAAATGTTATCCTTCCATTTATTAAGTTTTCTGGGATCGCCGTCTCCATTTTGTGAAGCCCTTTATTTTTCTATATGTTTGGTCTAAAGTACAGTATGGTCCTGATCTCACCTAACGAAAGATGTCGATTAAAATGCAGGCGAAGCTTATGTTAATCATTGACATCACACTCATTTTTATTAATTTTGGCCTAATGTTTCTATCGCATAAGCTTTCTTATTGAACTTGCTCAAAGTCGAATAATTTATTGTTAGCATTAATCATCCTCTAGCTTCTCTTTATATCATTGTAAGGCAAACTTTTTCTTACAATGAATATTGGTCCGTAGGTTTGTGTTAAGTGAAATATTCTATTACATTTTGTACGGCTCAGACTGATGCAATCTGCGTCTATTTTGTTTCTACTAAAGTTGGATTTCCAAGGTTTATCACCATATATTTTTCAAAATACTTTTTTTCTGCTATTTGTGCTTCTATAATCAAAGTACGCGATCTGGAGCCTTTGTCGGTCACTTGAAGTTAAACTTAGTTTTGTTTCGAAAATCTTAAGATTGTTAAGGTGTGGCTCTTGGTATGGTCGCAGTCTCCTCGTTTTCGCAACTTGGTCTTGTCGTCAGGGCGACTTAGTTGAGGGCACTTAGTCTGAAGTCCTTTCTATATTAGTTATCGTAATTCCAAGCATCAGACAGTGAACTTAGTACATTCTCAGACTTTTCGCTGGCATCGTAATCGGCATCATCAGTGAGTTTTGCCATTCTCCGCACCAAGCTACAAGCCCGTCAAAGTGTAGTTAATCCCTCGACCAACTTTCTGCCGAAATGGTTGCACTATCACTCCTTCTGTCCTGGCCCATCTATCTACTTGCACACTAGTTTATTTGAGTAGGGAAGCAGCTGCCACCAAACGTAAATCCAGTTTGGGAATTAACTTCATTCATCTGAAAACATGTAGAGTAAAGTTAGAATAGCATACCAAATTGTGGTGTGCCTCATTAAGATTGCGATGTTAAGTGTATAAAAAGCGACTATGGTTGAAGCCGGCCGCCTTTTCTCTTGGTTTAGTTTATTCATGCTTTATTTAGTAAAATATGGAATCTTGCTCTGATGATGTCTGTCACAGTACAAACAAGAGCTTAGCACAGTTTCATAAGGGTCGCATGTCTTGGAGCCAAAGTCTTCTTCGCACAATTCAACAGTCTTCCATATGCGGCAATCGTCCTTCGGTTTCCGGTGAGACCATATCACAAATTCCTTCAAATTAAATTTTTCTTCGAAATGGAGTCATGCTACAGGGCTAGTTATTAACAAATATACAATTAAATAGAACCTTAGGGTTAAGTAAGACTGACAAGATGAATATCCTTTATTTGATCCGGAAGTTGTAAAGCCTAAGCGATCCATCTCCACACTAATAGTTATAAATATTGCTATACACGGTGTCCTGGAAAATTGGGAATGATGCGACAACTGAAGCCTAGTGGATTTTAGGTGATAGAATCGCTATTTTGATAAAGTTATGTCTATTACACATGCCCAATCATATTTTCGGCATATTCATGTAAGTAAATCCTCGAATAGCATAACCGGGGCCGGAAGCTAGTGCTTTGCATTTGCCAGAAGAAACGGCTGAAAAGACGAGTGGTGAAGCTAGCTAAATGGAAATGTTGCTTGTGTCTTAGAAGTCCTGCAAACGGCATCTGGAACCGGTTTTTCGTGTGATTACGCTTGAAAAAATCCACTTGAAATGACACACTAGGATGAAATTAAAGCAATAATGTATTTAGTTAGATGAGTCATTAAGTCTTTAGAAGCTGAACAGAAAGTTGGTCAACTGGTCACAAGTCATTTGGACGAGGCGTAACCCTTTGAATATAAGTGCCATTCTCATTGACGATAACGACTTATTTCTGCGAAATTTCTGTTAAAGTACTAAATCAACGGTACGATTCTGGAAATTATCATAAATACTATGGTATAGGCAAAACTAGAGGCCGGGTCTTGAAGACTCTCTTAATCGATTGATATCCATGTAGATTTCATTGCGTCCGAAAAGTAAGGTACAAGTTATTCATTACTAAGTCCGCCACACCGGACAATGAAGGAAAGTTTCCTTGGCCAGGTGACTCCTGTATTTTGCGAAGACCTCGGCTTACCGTCCTGCAATATCGACGAATCTGTGCCGAGCTTTCATCCGTAATATTACGGACATCCTTAACGCCGGAAGATATTATTTACAAAAAATTGCCAAAAACCTAAAATAAATATAATCATTGCAGGATCATACGTTAGTTTATCTACATGAGGAACCAGCTGTAAATACATCCGCAGGTTTACTCATCTGCATGTACGCAAAATAGACATGGGTTAGCTAACAAAATGTTCTTATTTCTCAACATGCTTTATTAATTTACGAATATTGCTATTGATTATGCTGCGAAATATTTCTATAATATAATTTAGAATGTAAAGTTGTTGTGATATCATCTTAAGTTAATATATGTATATTCGTTGTTTCTAACCACTAAGTCAGTGCTCTTCTCCACTCTACTCCCCTCTGGCCAATTTTACTAATCTTCTCCATTGCCATAAAAAGGCCGTCGAATTTTTGGCTGAGTGGTCTTTGTGCCCGGAAAATGAAGTTTTTCAGCGTATACACACTGGAATCACTGATTCGTGCAATATTGGTGATAAACCAAAATGGTATCAAGACAAGTTGGCTCGAGTTTTTTTCGATCTCTGTCCGACTGCTGAACTTAGAGGAGTGCAGCCTTCTCAAGACCCAGTAATTCCTTGTGCTAAAGAAGCCAGTAGCCATGAGCCTATTTCTTATGCGACCTCAAATGGAGTGCAGAATTTGCTGCTCTCTTCTAACAGGCCCTATACTTCATTGCCTCCAGGTTTGTTTAAAATTTTTTCACTTATATCTCACAGGCAGTTATTATTGGTTGGCTACTTTTATCTGATACTTTGCAAAATAAAAACTAAATTATTTTATTACAACAAATTGTAATTTTAAAATGTGAATTCTATGTATATTTACCTTGGCATTAAGTTATATTGGAAAATTGTGATAATAAGTTAGAATATATATATATATTTTTTCGATACCAATATATATATATATTCTAACTTATTATCGCAATTTTGTAATATAACTTAATGCCATGGTAAGTATACATATAATTCACATTCAAAATGGACAATGTGTTGTATTAAAGTAATTTAGTTTATATATATATACTTGGTCGGCGCAACAGGTAATAACGTACCTAGTCCTGTGTCTCCCGCCATGGTATTCGTGATTTCCAGTATCAGACCACTGACTTGGTACATTCTTAGACGTTTCTCCGACATTGTAGTCTGCACTAGAGGCACTTGAGATTATGAAAAAATGGGATCGAGGAGTTATGCCACAACAGTTGGTGACCAACGGGAGTTCTGTAAGTCATTGGTCTGATGGTGGAAACCACGAATACTATGGTAGCGGATGCAGGACTAGGTGCGTTCCAAAATATCTCCCTATCGCACGACCAAGTTGTGAAAACGAGTTCAAACCAACACAACCTCATTTCTGCCGCTTCAATAATTGGCTCATCAATCTAAATCCCCATTTTTTATTAATTTGCTTACCACTTTCCTATTATTCTTTTTAAAATTTCAATCAATGATTTTATTTCTCACTGGTAGTCGAAGGTATGAAGACCAGGATGGTGTGATCTTTTGCATGGCCGCAGTCTCCTTTCATTGATAGAAGTTATTTGATTTTGGTTTCGCAACTTGTTCCTTTTAGCAGGAAGACCTAGAGGAACGCACCTTGTTTGGAGTCCCTAGTATGCATGATCATTTCCAGAGTCGAACAATGGACTTTGTACATTCCCAGACGTTTCGTCGGCACTATAGTCGGCATCATCAGTGAGTCTTGCCAGTCTCAGCAGCCAAGCTACAACTCGTCAAAGATACAAGTAAAGTCAATCCATTGACCAACTTTCCGTCGAGATGCTTATTCTATCACTCCTCGTTTTTTCCTAGTCCATCTATCCATTTCCTACTCTATAGTCACGCCCTTGTCCTATCACAACTTCTAACATGTTTTTATTCCACAAGAGATGTGCAATTTTGGCGAATTTACCGTGGCGTCATCACACCTGCTGTTTGCCTTGTTCCCTTCCCCTTCGAGTGTCTGATCCTGCTCTTGTCTCCTGTCTGGATCTGCTTCATGGGCTCGTAGGTCCGTTTCTTATCATTCTGGTTGACCTATTTCACTCGGTTCCAGCCCCAGCGTACTTTTACTCCATGTGCTATTTCTCAAGCATTCACTAGCACGTAGAAAGTCTTCAGAGCATCTAGGCTCTGATTCCCATCCCTGCGGATATTAGGCATTAACTTAACGTATCATCTTGATTAAGCCCGTGTACCTTTAGCAAACTGTAAACATCTATCTCTGGCCGCCTGCTGCATCTCAAGTGGATTATTAGCCCATTTGGTCACTGACCGACTTCTGTGACCCAAAACCTCTCTCTAGTCATGTGAAATGTCGGTACTACAAGTTGTAGTTGCATATTCGAGTTCACTGCTCTTATTGAACACGTCTTCGCTTCATTTTCGAAACCTTATTCTTTTTTTTCTGGTTTATGACATATCCCTGATCCACACGTCTAATTTTTGCTTGTTTTGTCGCATCCCTATTTTCTCTAAGTTTGATTAGGCAAGAGGCAATGTTATCACTGACTCTACCTTCTTCTAATCTTCTGTTCATTAAGTATTTTCCCCCAAGAATATCAATAGCCTTCCTAATTTTCCGTTTCTTTGTGCTTTCATTGTATGAGGCCCTTCTTTCTGTTGCCTTCATATGGGATCACCTCTCACTTCTTTTGACAAATGTATATATGGACAAATCGGAAGAAAATTTCAAGGTCTCACCGTCGTCTTATGCGGTACCAGGATGAATACTTTGCAATATGGTCGCTTGGAAGAGAAAATTTGGAGGATTTCCTGAAGCTTATGAACAGGATTGATGACAAATTCAAATTCACGATGGATGTAGATATAGAAGGGCGTTTTGCTTTACTAGATGGGGGGGTTATTCGCACTAATGGAACACTCAAGAGGACATTGTTTCGAAAGAAGTCATATGCCGGAATCATACTCAATTTCGAATCTCATCACAACTACAGAATGAAGATAGGCATGCTGAGGAGCATGATCATCAGAAGCCTACGATTAGCGGAAGGGGAATTATGGGATGAAGATTTGAAAAATG